TTTTTTCCCACCACGGTGTATCTCGCGCGTCGCTCCACCTCCCGGTCATCGATCGATTTTCTTAAATGCCTCCCGAGTCTCCTGCATCCTCATTCGCTCAAACGTATAAATTTCTTTGTCGGTAACTATTGTTACTTTGTACCTCGGTACATGATATTTCTCCTTAGTTTAACCCAATCTACCGCTATTTGCAAAGTGGCTACTTTTGCATCAGACACCCTGTATAAATAGAGTATAACATAAAATTCAATAATAAATGAATATCCTATATAAAATTCTATATTTATTGTATAATCAATAGTTCATTAATACTTCAAGTAGTAATATTTCTTTTATATGTTGTTACTAGGTAATATGATGGGCATAAAGTTGGAACAAAAAAAAAACAAGGAATGTGTCAAAGCAATGCAAAGGTATACATTTTTATATTCAGAATATATGTATATAGAATTCTTTTAATTCCAAAATTTTATATTTCTGTGAAAAATCACATTTGTATGTATCAAAAAAATTTTTAGTAGGTGTATTTACTAATTTTTGTAAATTAATATTTATTATAAATAAACTAATATTGTTACTGAAGAAATATGTTCTTTAGTACTGAAAAAACGATATCTCCTTCTATCTATAAAATTTTGCACATTAAATAGTCGCAGTTAGTTCAATAATCTTTTATAACCTTATCTGATATATGTATAGAAATTTTGATTTTATATAAAACCGTGTTTCAGGTTCAAACAAATTTTTATACATAGAGTAAAACATATATTATTATATTTTGATGGTACATTCTCTATTACTGCATTGAGCCGCAAACAGAAGAGAGCTACGGATTTGATAAATTCACTTGGCGATGAGGTAATGCTACCATAAATAGATTTATTAACATCTTGCACTATTTTATCCATTACATAATATATTATTACATAGATGATACAGCAGCTCAAACATGATCCCAATAATCTGAATACTACAGATGAAAATAACCGAACTCGTAAGTTTATTCACATTTCATATAAAAGTTATGAAAATGCTTTTGTTTGCAAAATGATGGCAATATAAATTGTTCGAAACTATTTAAAACAATATTAAATACTTTCTTTTATTAGTATACATTTCCAGAAAATTGTTTCTACTTAAATTTACTTTTAATTTTTATATAAAAATGTAGTTTAAGTTTAAAATTAAAGTTTTCCAGCATATAATTAACAAAAATTATGTTCATATTTTAAATGCTTAGTTTAATTTAATATGTATATTTCTTTCGTTATATAGATAGACATTTTTACCAAATTCTGACGGAAGCGTCGCAAGAAACGAACTTCACAGACGAAGATTTTCATTATAATATTATGACTATGTTGTTAACGGTACAAACAATGTTTTCTAATACTTATACAATAAATAAAAAACTATATATATAATGTTAAAGTGAATTTATATTTGCAGGCCAGTGACACAATTTCAACTGTAATCAATTTTGTGACGTTTATACTGGCAAATTTCCCCGAGATACAAGTAAGTATAAAATATATATGTATATTAAATATGTTTCTATATAATATTGTATGTCTTTATAATTCTTTATAATTTTATGTAATTCTATATAATTTTATAAATTTATATGAAAAAACTTGGTCATTTATAATTTTATCTAATTGTGTATACATATACAGGGTGAGTACAAAGTACCGGACCGGTGAGATATCTCGACAAATATGGGAGATATGGAAAAATGTTTCAGACAAAAATACTTTTTAAGATATTCAAAAGAAAATTTATAACTTTTTCAATGTTTAGTTTATAATATCTCGATAACTGTCTGTCGGAGGGAAAAGTATAGCACAGGACTTTTTTACTTGATTTAGTCTCAAGAATATGCTGTCGTAATGATGTTTCAATTATTGAAAATTTTTGTGTATTGTAACACATAAAATTTACATACACAAAAATTTTCAATAATTGAAACACCATTGCGACAGCATATTCCTGAGACTAAAGTAAAAAAGTCCTGTACTACTTTTCCCTCCAACAAACAGTTATCGAGATATTATAAACTAAATATTGAAAAAGTTATAAATTTTCTCTTGAATATCTCAAAAGTATTAGGCAAATCAAAAAATGTTTCAGACAAAAGTTGTTCATATTAATTAGTAGAATAAGATTGTATAATAAACAATAGGGAATTCCAATTTAAAAAATGACGGCGGCCTCCATATAACCATAAAAAACTTTTTTTTGAAAATTAATTTTACCATTATACAGGGTGCTCCGCAACATATTGAAGACCGGTCATGGGAAGGTAGAGGAGACTAAGACAAACAGAAAAGTCCTGTACTATTTTGCGCTTGGACGAATAGTTATCGAGATACTGAATTTTAAAAATCGCCGTATTAGTCCAACCCACTGGCAAATGCAAGCGCGCGGTGAGTAGCGACCATCGCTGCGAACTTTGACGCAGCGCGGGGAGACGTGCGAGTGGTCGCGTAAGCGGCGGACGGGCAGCGGCGCGCCTCGCCTCCCTACTCCTCGCCGCGCATCGCCATCCTACTCCTCGCTACACACCGCCTCGAGCGGGGCCGCTAAGCGAACGCATCTCACCGCGCGCTTACATTCGCCAGTAGGTTGGGCTAATACGTCGATTTTTAAAATTCAGTATCTCGATAACTATTCGTCCAAGCGCAAAATAGTACAGGACTTTTCTGTTTGTCTTAGTCCTCTCTACCTTCCCATGACCGGTCTTCAATATGTTGCGGAGCACCCTGTATAACCACGAAAGCTTCATGCATATGACAATCATGTGTCACGTACGAATGCAAATGGAGTTAGTTGATGACAGCGCTCCCAGTATTGCTTTTCAGAACGTCTGGCGGGCACAAACATCGGCCCATTCTGATTACGGGCAGTTCGGTCTCCTTATACATTCTCCATGGGTGCTGTATAAGGTTACGATACACCAGATCGACCCGTTTGTCCAGAAGTAAAAACTGAGGTTGTCTTCAAAAGTAGCCACCCAATACAATTTGGTCCTAGGAGACTATCATATTCGGACCGGAAAACAGTCGGTAGGATCATTGAGGATCTATTGGCTCGGGGCATTATTCGAGAGAGCTCGTCTGAGTGCGCCTCTCCTACCGTGTTTATGCGGAAAAAGAATAGCGAAATCAGGATGTGTATTGATTTCCGGACGATTAATAAAGTTATGGTTCGTGACAATTACTCGTTACCCTTGATCGAGCATCAGCTGGAACGCCTGAGAGGTAAACGATATTTTAGTGTCATGGATTTAAAGGACGGTTTCTACCATATCGCAATTGCCCTGGAGTCCATCAAATTTACTTCTTTCGTGACCCCAATAGGTCAGTTTGAATATTTAGTCATACCGTTTGACCTAAAGATACCCACACAGCACAGCAAGATTGCAGGAAGATTGCAGAAATTTTACATTGCAAAATTGCAATATTGCAGCAACGTTGCGCAACATTGCTGCAACGTTGAAATGTCCGTCCTCAGAGAGATTGCAGTGCAACATTATAGCAATGTAGCAGTGCAATATTTTTGGAATAATTTGTTGTTGTTGTACATAAGCAGAGAATTTACTAATTACATATGCATCCGGGCCTTTTTCAATACACAGCAAGCTATTGCGAAGCAACCTAAGGAGATTATGTCGCTTCGCAAT